AATTATCATCCAATAATCATAACCAAATCCTAAATTCAGCTAAATATCAACTAACAAGAGATCTTACCTTTGCTTATGGCTTCACGGTGGAAAAGAAGCGAATGAAGAAGAGAAGTCTGGAACTCTCATATTTCCCACGTTTTATAATACTCAAAAAGGGAAGATAAAAATCTTTCCCATGAAAAGACCATTTTGCCCCTTTAGTTCATCCATCCTTGCTATTTAATCCAATATTAAAATTCTTTACTTAACTCCCGAGACTTTTAATTTATTTCTAAATTGAGCACAAAACTTTCAAAATTTGCAATTTAGTCACTGACCCTGATTTGGGATATTATACTTCTATTTTGGTCACTAAACTTTAAAAGTTTTCAATTTAATCACTCAACTTTTGAATTGCTCTTATTTTAATCATTATGATTTATTTTATTAATATTTATCTATGATGTGGCATGTTTTCTTTTCAACCAAATATTTCTTTATTTTTCTTTCATTATCAGATTCAGTGAACCCATTTTGAACTTGTAAAAAAATTGAAAAACTGGGGATGAGCTACTTAATCGGGTAATGAAAGGGAAAAAAAGAAATCTTTGGTTGAAAAGGAAGAAAAATAAAATGAGAATATAAAGGAGTAGAGTGGAGATTTGGAAATATAAAGTAGATGGAATATTTTTCAATTTAATTATAATTTTGGGAATATTTTTTGTTTCAATATAATTTTAAAATTGTAATTTAATTAATATTATTTTAATTATATATTATTAATAATAATAAATTCCACAGCATACATAAATATTAATAAAATAAATCATGATGATTAAAACGATTGTAATTCAAAAGTTGAGTGATTAAATTGAAAACTTTTAAAGTTTAGTGACCATCAACACAAAATGGCGGAGCCATTGGTCAAAGGACCACATTGAGTTTTTTTTTTCTGACTTGGAGGGTCACATTGGGTGCAAAAAAAAAGTGGAGGGTCACATTGAGTTTTTTTTTTTTTTTGAAAAATATGAGGGCGTTAGGTACCCTTTTGCCTTATAAATCAAATGACATTAAAAATTATAAAATATATTTATAATTTATTTTTTAGAAAAAATATTGATGAGATTTTAAAAGAGTCAAAGAATTGATTGACGAAATAATTTGTGAAAAATGACAACAGCAAAAAAATTGAATAAAACAAAAGGCTAACGGATTAAATTATAAAATAGTAAATTTGTTGTTAAAAATAATAAATGAAGTTACATAAATATTCTATAATATTGGAGGAGCTTGCTATCCGAATTTGGTCAAAAATAAACTTTAAATGAGAGGAATTAGGTATAAGAAGAACTATGGTTGAATATTTGAGTTATTCAAGTTGATTCTAGTTAAAAAAAATCGAGTTAGTCATATTTTATCATTCGAACCTTATTTAAAACCTTTTTAGAGTCAAAGCAAATGTAAATTATTATTTTTATATAAAACTATTATTAAATTTATTAGTGTTTACTGTTTAGTCCTTTGGTTAGCCAATTTTAGTAGTTTAATTCAAGCATTAATTAGTGATATGATCCATATTCATAATTTTGCTGTCTTCCATCATGGTAATATTTTTTTTGAACAAAAAGGAAATTTGACCAATAAATTCTCCAAAGAAGGAAGATTACTAAAGGCATAAAGTGCCAATAGGCAATAGATACATCTTTAGATTAATTTATCATTCATCAATTAAAAAAATTATTGTTGACTAATTTAGAGAGAGAGAATAAAAAAAAGCATCGATTCCAAGCTTTAATTTTTTCGACCAACTGCGTTTATAGCGTGTATGTAATGACATAATATAAAGAAGAGTTAGTGGGGCCATGACTCCCTAAAATTTAAAAAATTATAATATAGACCCTTTAAATTTTTAAAAGATTTAATTTTGTCCCCCAAAATCTTTTAAAATTCAGATTAAATTTTAAATTTTTTTAATGTTCTTAATTAAATCCCCACCAAATTTTTTTTTTAAAAAAAATTCTTATTAAATCTCTCAAAGATTAAAAAATTTTAGTTAGACCCTTTTTTTTTAAAAAAAATGTAAACTAAACCCTTCAAAATTTTTGAAAATTTTAATTTAAACTTTTGAAAATTTTTAAGTTTCAAGTTACCCCTCAAACTATATTACTAAGCTCCGCCACTGTGTGTATGTAAATTGTAAATTGGTTATTTTTTTTAACATATACTACTTTATAATCACTAGACTAATCGATAATTGGTAAGGTAATTCATCTCAATTTTATGGATAAATTATATCGTTCATCACTTAACTAACTTCTCGCTCCTATTTTGGCCACTAGAGGTTAAAAGTTCTAAATTTAATCACTCAATTTTCGAATAACTCCATTTTTATCCTCTAAATTATTTTATTATTAAACATCAAAAAATATTTTATTAATATTTTTTATGATGTGTCATCTATTAGTATTATTATTTTATAAATATATGACCAACTTAAGATTAAAATTAAAATAATCAAAAATAAAAATCTTAAATCATTTAATTTTATTTAAAGAAATTTACAATTATATTCGAACTAATCTCAAACTTTGTCCCATTTTTATTAGAAATTAAATAAAGTATAAACTAAAATGTTAAAAATAATAAAAATATAAACAAAAGTAATTTTATTTGTAAACACTTTTATCATTTTCGCAGAAAATAAACTCATTTTAAATGTACGAATGGGCTCAATAAATGGTGGGAGCCCAAACTAACATAGGTCCAATGAAATTAATTTATAAAATCTAAGACTAAACCTACTCAATATCCTTTGTCCTTTCCAATAGTTCTAAAACAAGAAATCAACCCCCATTGTTTGCTACATTCCGCCACCCTTCATCAGCCTGTACCTTCACAAACTCAGCCAGGAGCTTGATTTCGTCCTCCTTCAATCGCGGACCGAACGTGCATTGTCCCCTCGGCGTGCAACTCTCGCCAAAGCCCTTCGAACATATCATCCGAGAAAATATCAGAGCAGTGAATTGGTAATAACTGATAAGCAAGGATGTTGAATTTCTATTCCGATCCTTACCGGCATTCTTCCCTTGCCGTAGTACGTGACGCGATATATATCGTCTTCGGTGACAACCATTGAAAGGTATTTAATTCAAGAGCACATGGCTTTCCTTGCATTGTTTACTATGTATTCAGCTGATTGCTACCTTTCAAGATCCATTGGAAAGAGTGTTGCACCCTAAAATGAACAAGGAACGGTGGATTAGAGAGGAAATTAAAGGAAAAATGACCATATCCGTAGTTGGTGAAATGTAAAACGAGTGTCACCGGTTGTATTATGTTTCCACCTCTGTCATGACACCCGATACAAGCTTGTCGAAACAATGTGGCCCCTCTCTGTATATCAACGCTTTGTGCAAGAGCTGCATCCAAGAAAGTAACTCTATTGGAAAATTTCAGTTCATTGTAGCTACCTCTAATCATCAAAGGGAGTCCTTCGGAGAAGAATGGTTGCAGCCCTTTGATTTGATTAATAATCTTGTAGTTTTTAATTTGATTATCATCGAAACTATCACTCACAAATTCTGTCACATAATAATTTGGTCAATTCACTTTATCATCTTCAATATATGATAGGGCAATTGATCACACAAATTAGAAGAGATGAAGTGTTTACGGCTATCCTAATATATTTCCATTAACAGAATTCAAGTGACATAAGATAATGGGAGCAATCAACTGAGTGGTAATGGCACCTGGGGTGTTGCAGACGGGAGAAAAGGCGACGACTGCAGCAACTAGAGGTGGAACCAGGTTCTTGAGCAGCAGTTTTTGAACTCGTTCGACGTGTTTCAGCTTCCAAGGAGCTTGATTTGCATTTCCCTTTGAAAACCCTCAATTATTTTTAATAAGAACAGAAATAAAATGGAGATAGAAAGAGGATGAAATGGATAAGAAATCACCTTCACAAGGGGAGGAGTGATGTTGCTGCAACAAGACACAGCAGAAAGAGTCTCCATTTTCTGTGTTCTAGTTGTCTCAGACGAAAGTGCCGCGGCTCATGGAAGCTAAGGTAATCAGATGGAAAGCCAAATCATCCAGACCAACCACTCTTATCCTTCCACTTTTAGATTGGGCTGTATTCACCTTAGGCAAGGGTTCGATCAAATCAAATTATTTGAGTTATATTTTATAATTGATTTGAACATAAATTTTTTAAGTCCAATCAAATTTACGAAATTCTAACTCAAAATAAAATAAATTATAATCGACTTTTTTTAAATCAAATCAAGTGAAAAATAAATTATTTTTTTTGAGTCGGTTAATTTTACTCACCCCTATTCACCTTCCCCAAACATCAAAATCACATTTTTTAAGGGTAAATTACCGGTCTCTTTTGTTTTCGTTCTGATCGATTTTAATCACCGGTATTTTAATTAAATACGTTTAGTCTCTTACGTTATCGATACGTCCTGTTCATGTCCCTCAACCGTTAACTTCCGGTAATCTACTAAAAAAATCCACAATTTTCTGGTTCAGTAACTAAAACATCAGGAACTCACGTGTAACTAAAACATCAGTAACTCACGTGTAACTAAAACATCAGTAATATCAAATATCCCTAACCATATCAAGCAAGAAATCTAAAATCTGCAACTTGCAAATTAAAAATATCCGAATCGATGCACCAACAAACAATGATCTTCGACCAAAGATTAGACAACACATTAAAAAAATGTCGAAGCACCATTTTCCTACATGGAAAGTGAACATAAAGGAGATAAGAACAAAAGCTAGGGATTCCTAAACCTCAAAATTAAGAACATAGACAGCAAAGAATCGTCGGTGTAGTCAAACAAAGCACAAATCTTTAGTCTTTAGTTTTACTTTGAAGCGGCTTTACAAATGTAATATCAAAACTTTCTTTCCATGAAAAGAGTAATACACAGAAATATCAATAATGATCCATAACAAGGTGGTTAATTTACTCTAAAAAGGGTTGAGATTGGAATTGGATTATGCTTACTTATTTCCTCTGATCTTAAACCAAGCCTCAGCACAGTGTTTATGAGCGGCAGCAAGATCATCCTTGCAAGAACAACCCAATTCAATGGCACCACCGGATTCATGGTTGTTACTCTCCAAACCCAAATGACAAATTCTACAATCTTTCTCGACTTTAGCCAAATGCACTTTGATTTCATTAGCTCCGTTCTGAATCTGCACCACCACCGAACAATCCGACGCCGAAGATACCCTCCCGGAACCCGAAACGTCACCGATCTCGACATCTGATCCGCAATCATCACTGGTGGTGGAATAGAACTGAGAGTAGCAAGAGCCCTCGTCGGCGTCGGAGTAGCATACTCTAGCCTCATCGACGCTCAGATCACTCCCGTCCCGGCGGTGAGTACCTTGCTCTAAATCGAAGTGGAAAATCTCTAATGATGACATTTTTAGAATTAAAAAAGTGTATAAAGCGGTTAAAGTTTGAAGCTTTGAAGGTCATCATTGGTGTCAAAGTTCGAAGCTTTGCGAGGGTTTTAAACAATAAAATGTGAGGATTTAAAGAAATTGCTATTGGATTAGGTGGCCCTTTACCTACATTAGCGTTTACATTAAATATGAAAAACTTGTAGTAAAAAGGAAGAAAATAAGGACTGACCAAAGAACCAAAAGTGAAAACATGGCAAAGATCAGAGCCATGGCTTCTCAAGTGCATAAAAAAAAGACAATGACAGAGAGAGAGAAAGAGAGAGAGAAGCTTAAAGAGAAGAAAAACAGAAACACATGGCAAAGTTTTAGCAAAAGTTTTAAGAGGAGAAGAAGAAGAAGATCACAGGTAAGCCAAAGTTTGAACAAACACGTGGATTTTTTTTTATTTTTTTAATTATCACGTAATACTTCGTTAATTAGTTAATAGAAGTTAAACACATATAAATTTAAACAGGATGAATCAATAACATAAAACACCAAACGTATTTAATTAAAAAATCTATTATCAAAGTCGACCAAACAAAAAATAAAGGTAACTATGGATATAGTTTACCTTATTTTAAATAAGCGCCTTGGAATTTTCTTTTTTAGGGTAAATTATAATTTTAGTACTTATATTATTAATTTTGATTCATTTTAGTACTTAATTTTTTTAAAAAAAATCATATCTATTCTTTAGTTTTTATTTTATTTTAGTATTATTCGTTAAAAATTTAACGTTTTTAATACATAAACTATCAGTTTTGGTTTCATTTGAGTACCTAAATATTAGGTATGATTTTGAAAAATTTAAAAGTTTAGGTACTAAAACAAATGAAATCTGATAGTTTAAGTATTAAAGTGTAGTTACCATTTCCTTTAAGATGAAAGGCATTTTTTTGATAAACTATAATGGTGCTCCCTTTTATTTTTGGATTATTTTATTTCGGCCCATCAGTTTTATAAAATTACTTTTAGTTACCTTTTATTTTATATTTATCTTATTTTAGTCATTTGATCGCTAACTTTTATTAGTTTGATGATGTGAGACGTCAGTAAAAGTGATTAAATTATTCTAGAGTTTTAGACATAATACTAATTTGATCCTAAACTTTATATAAAATATAAATTTTAACTTTAGATAAAACATCAATTTAACATATGAATCCAATCAAAGTTATTATAGTTGGCCTCTACCCATCACTATGTCGATTACCGTCAGCTGTCCCCATCGATCACTGTCGACCGTTGTTGCTTATAGTTATTGAACCCTAAAATATTTCGTTTACTCTTTTCTTATTTCATCCGATGACCGTCCCATCAATTTAGATTAAAATTGTATATTGCTGCAGAGGTTTGGAAGGGTTGATGAAGAGATTAAAATCCTTCAGAATAAACTGAGAAACATCGAGGAAGGAACCATTTTCGACGTGAAGAAGACAAAGATTGTAGGATCTCAAAGGAAGAAGAGAAATCAAGGTGGGATATATTGATTGCATTCGTACCCTTCATTTGTTGTCATTCTTTCAGCTTATAAATTTCTGTAGATTTGTATATGTTTCAGTATAATAGGGAATCTGGCTTGGGTCTATCTCAAGCAGCATAATTGTGGAATTGCTGGACAACATTACACTTCTCGTATTGCATGTTTATATATATATATATATATATATATTCGTTTGACCCTGAACTTTAAATAAAATATTTGACTCTTAAATTCGACCAAACTTTCCTATCCCCGGTCACAACTCATCACTGTCCACCGTTGTCGATGATCGTTAATCCTAGTTCAAACGATCTTAGAAGAAGATTAAACAGATGGTTTGTTTCTAACATTCAACTATGCTCCCCTTTAGGGATGGCATTGCAATGGCATAAGCCATAGGAAACTTTGTTAACAAATCATACCCCCCAAAGGGCAACCCAATTATCCACCAAAATAAAAAGCTTAAAAGAGGGTGAACTGCAGCAGCCGGGAACCAAACCCAGATCTGTACCATGGCAGGGTACTATTCTACCGCTAGACCACTGGTGCTTCCTTTGGGGACTTTAAGTATACTTTATAGATGTAAATAAAGTTTTTAAAGGACCAATTTATTTATCCATAGACATTAAGGTAACCTACGTTCTTTGTTTAGTAATTAATAAGGCTTTTGCTAGCTCATTAATCCTCGTTTGTTCTGAAAATTAAAACAACAAAAGAATCATAATACACTATTTATCCATACACAATAATAGATAATTTCTACCCTTTGTTATTGTAAAAAGAACGTGTAAAACTTGCACCTTCAACACTTAAGTTTTTGTTTCTGCTTTCTACATCAGCCTAGAATATTTAAAAAAATATATATATATATAATAAGAATGGAAAAGAGTACGTCAATGGGTATGACCTGGATACATATTATAATGCCAAAAAACTTCGGTTGAATTCAAGGTCAAATTATTATTTTGTCCAAAACTTAGAGTTATAATTTAAAGCTCAGGAGTCAAATAAAAATTAATTACTTTTACTAACACGTCACGTCATCAAAATAACATGAGTTGACAACAAAATTATTAGTTTGACTTGCATTGTATAACAATTTGTATAAAGGTGAAGTCAATATTTTATTAATAAGTTTATAAATAGGTCATTATATTATGATTGAGACAATTAGTTAATTTTGGTAGAAATGAGTAATTTGGATTTTGGACTTCTGTGACTTCATTCGACTATCTAAACAGTGGAGGAATTGTTGTTGGTGTTAGAAAGAACATGTCTCGGGACAGAGGTCATACGATGATAGAATGCGTAGATTTGGATTCAAGAAATCTGAACGTTTTGGGATGATTTCACTTCTTTTGAGAGATTCTTGGGTTTCTGATGAATCGAAGAAAGATATCGAAGTAAATCTTTTGATGAAATTGGAGGTTCATTGGCCGCTAGAGACGACTAGATTTAGGGAAATGTCAGCCAACATTGGTGTCACTCAAGATTCCAAGACATCTTTTAACTCCATTCTAATGGCTCTAAACCTTCTCCACCAAGGAAAGGAGAAAACCCTCGAATTCTTGGACTGAATGAGCTGATACGGTACACAGACAACAATGCAAAAGACAAGATGACTATACAACTCGTATCAGACTAACATATTGAAAGAGAATAGTCTTGATTGATCATTGAATTAACCACTTCTCCTGGTATGTGCTCTTCTCCAAAGAGATTCTTGATGTTGACAAGTCTTACTCTACGAATGAGAAGTTCAGTAAATCATAGATGAAGATTATACGATTTCCGCCGTGTTTTCCCTCAACCTATCAATTCTTTCCCTACCGCGAATGGTACATGAAAGAAATGCAGTGGCCGGATATCAGAAGATGCTCCACGCTTTCAAGTATTAGTCCACTAGTTTTTCCACAGAGCAGCATCAACAGCAGCCATGTCTTCAGCTTTTACTGGTTTGTGCAGCTGCAAAAGATGCTTCTCATAATAAGATGGGAAGAAATTATGCACACACTTATTGTTAACAAAATGAGATCCTAGCAATATAAGCACAATTTCTTACAATGATATCATTTGGGACAGTTTAATACAACATAAAAAATAACTCGAACTCAATCCAAGACCATAGCCAACATAATCAAGAATGGGAACCATTTTGAATGGACAAACCACAGTAGTAATCAAAAGAACTAGGCTGAACAAACGAGTAGGAAAGAAGATGGAACTCAAGAAAAACTCGGGATCAAAGGGAAACCACTAGTATAAGCTCCTGCCTCATTACAGACTTAAACACATGGGCTTGCCTTTGTCTGATGACTATAAACCATTGAATGTAACATCAAGAACTAGGTCCAAAATAATCGGAATTGAAGAATATTTCCCTGCCTTTATGCATCGTATGATGGATTAACTTACAGCTTCTGCAACGGCAAACCAATGAAAAGAACTCAGGAAGGGATCATCTTTTGATGGAATGCTATCGTGATTCCAGTATGTAAATTCATCGAATTTGGCTTTCATTTCTCCCTTCAGATACATCACAAGCTTTCCTCTTGCCTGACGTTTTCTTCGTAAGAAGAAAGCCTGTCAGAGCAACCAGGAATAGTAAGACCACTTGAAATCTATTGAAACACAGACGAATTTACATAAAAGAAAACAAAAGAAACAAATATGACATGATTAAATTTATAATAACTTCAGTAAACAGGCACCGTACGAGCCTCCTACATACGAGAAGTTCATCTAGTTAAAGGCTTGAAAATTCGTCGGGAAGAAGAATGAACCCAATTATGTAAACCTAAAAACAAAGATGAAATTTTTGAACAGGGACAATAAAGAAGAAAACAAGAGGAAACGGCCAACGGCCTACGGACTACGACTATATCAAATCTCTTAATACTATTATATTTAGAGCATGAAGCCTTCTGCAAGATCAATGGAACTTCCTAAAACCCAATAAACATATACCATGCAATACCCTGTCCATTGTTTTTTACATAATATTTTCATTGTAAACTGACAACCATATAGATTTTCTTGAAGCTCAGACGGCTAAAAGCATTGTTAAGAACAAAATGTTCATAGTTCCAATGTCACAAGCTTAGACCAACCATGTTTCCAACATACAAGACAACTCCCAACTCAGAATTTCGGTCCAAAACATCAACAAAATTAAACATACAAAAACCCAGAAATAAAGGGGAAAAAACTACCAGAATATCCATTTGGAAGAGAAATAGTAGTTCCTTGAAGCTTCCTTCCTCTAAAATGTGCTTCCTCTACTGTTAACCCGTCAATCCCCATCCCTACTTACAAAAAACCAAAAAAAAAAAAAAATCAATGTTTACATTAGCATAATTTTAGGGTAAACTACATGGGTGACCACCGAACTCTAGTTATCAACTATTTTGACCACCAACGTTTAAAAGCGATCAAACAGACCACCAAACTATTTAAAACAATCAAACATATCATTGGCCGTTAATTTTTAACA